TGGTGATGGGAGCAGACCAGAATGGACATGTTGGTGAAGGAAACAGACAGGATGAGGAAGTGATGGGTAGGTTTGGTGTCAAGGAAAGAAACCAGGAAGGACAGATGGTGGTGGATTTTGCCAAGAGAATGGAAATGGCTGTACTAGGGGTTGAACGACTACATAATTTTTAAACTCGACATTAACATAATAAAACTCGAGTAGAACTCGAGTACTTGATGACATCATAGGATCTAAAGATACAAAAATAAACAAATAAATAAAATCGCAAAAAAGGTCATTATTTACAAAAAAAAAGACCAACAAAACATTGGGAGCATATATTATGCTCCTACCATTTATCATACTGCAAATAAGTCACAGGAAAAAACTAAACTATTAGTTATTATTATTAAACTGCAAACGTGAAGAAAGGTGCAGCACATCAAAAATGAAACTAAAAACAGTGGGGGTCCCACCGCCAGCTGTGGTGCGCATTAAGTTTAGTTTTTGCTGGTTCTGGTTCGGTCATTGGACCCGGTGTTACACCATACTCTGTGACCTGCAACAGTGCAACACCGCCCCCTACGGTCACAAAATATGGTGTATCACCGGTTCGCAACGTGCTCCAAACAGTCAGGAAGTTGTTTCATTTTCTGTTTCCTTACGGTAGTTGAACCAGAAGATTCATCTTTAGTGAAATATTTCCAGACTATTGACACATTTCTACCTGTTTGTCAAGACTGGACCTGCTCTGCTCCATCCGTCTGCTTGAAGGAATCCATTTTGTAACCCACGCCCGGTGCGGATCACGTGACATGTGACGCAATGACGTAACGGCGGCGTAATGACGTCACCACGAATACTCGACGTGAAATTAAAAACCTCGATACAGTAGGTGTCCTAGGACTCGATGTGTAGATTACTCGAGTAGTCTGTTAAAGCCCTAGTCAATACCTATTCCAAAAAGAGGGAGGAACATAGAGTGACCTATAAGAGTGGACGAAGGAGTACGCAGGTCGACTACATTCTATGTAGAAGAGGAAACCTGAGGAAGATTGGGGAGTGTAAGGTTGTGGCAGGGGAGAGCGTGGCCAGACAGCATCAGATGGTTGTGTGTAGAATGACTGTTGTTGTGAAGAAAAGAAAAAGAGTAAAATCAGAGAAGAAGACCAAATGGTGGAAGCTGAAGAAGGAAGAATGTTGTGAGAAATTCAGAGAGGAGCTGTTGAAGGGTCTGGGTAGTAAGAAAGAGCTTCCAAATGACTGGGCTACTACAGCAATAGTAGTTAAAGGGACAGGTAGGAAGGTACTTGGTGTGGACGGAGAATGGATGATAAGGAAACCTGGTGGTGGAATAGTGAATTGCAGGACGCCGTTCAAAGAAAGAGATTAGCCAAGAAGAAATATGACAGTGAGAGGACTGAAGAGAGGAGACAGGAATATAAAGAGATGGGACGTAGAGCAAAGAGGTAAGTAGCTAAGGCAAAGCAGAGGGCGTACGATGAGTTGTATGGGAGACTGGACACTAAAGAGGGCGAGAA